ATGTGCTGCGGCGCGGGAGCCGCGGGAGCTGATCGCCTGTAAGTATTGCCCTGTGCGGGGACGGAGCTCGCCCCGAGGGGAAAGCCTTATCAGATCAGAGGAGTCGGAGCATGAGCCTTGCCTTCGGGTTTCTCAGGATTTTCCGGATTGCTGGAGGTTCCCGGAGGATGCTGACTGTGAGCTGTGAGGGAGGAATTACAGGTGGAACCACCTTTTGGTTCCTCTCTGTTTCCCTGAGCCTGAGTGACACCTGAAGTGGCTCTTCTGAAAAGTGCTGCTTTATGTTAAAGGAAGCTGGTATTGATTTGAGGCTATTTTAATGTCTTGGATTGTAAAACCCCATTAATCCATAAACTGTTAGGTGCACTTAGCTCAGTGCTGTTGGAGGAGGGCCAAGTGAAAATACACGAAATCACAGAGCTATACTGGAAGGGACCTCTAGAGACCATCTAGTCCAACCCCCGTGCCAAGGCAGGGTCACCTAGAGCAAGTGACATAGGAACACATGTCCAGGTAGGTTTTGAATGTCACCAGAGAGGAAGACTCTATAACCTCCCTGGACAGCCTGTACCAGTGCTCTGCCACCCTCAGTGTAAAGAAGTTCATCCTCATGTTGGGGTGGAACTTCTTGTGTTTTCATTTATGGCCATTATTCCTTGTCCTGTCACTGGGCGCCACTGAAAAGAGCCTGGCACACCCTCCTGACACCCATCTTTGAGAAATTTATATGCATTAATGAGATCCTCTTGCAGTCTGCTCCTCTCTAGACTGAACAGGCCCAGCTGCTGCAGGCTCTCCTGATGAGTTGAATTCAAAAGGCAGTTGTTTCCCCAAGAAGTGTCATTAAAATATTTATATGATTTCATGTCATATACGAGTTAGCCTGATGTCTTACTGCATAGGCACTGTGGTGTTTGCATGGCTTTGGCTTTGTGTTTTATCTATTGATTTAGCATGGTACGGACAAATTGGAAATGGATAGATCACCAGTAAGCCATTTCCAGAGTATGTAGTGCAAGGTAAAGTGTGCTGCTTTGTTTTAGTAGGAGAAAGGATATTTTATAAGCCTCCTCCTTTGCAAGTACTTAATTGACTTTGTTAAGGTGTGTATGCACCGATTTGTAAAGTTTTTAATCCTAATTGGGAGCCAAACATTTCATCTTGCAGAGTGAGGCTTCCTAAATACCTCCATTAGAGCAAGCCGTGTAAGTGGAAATAACATTTATGCAAAAGCTTCTAGCTATTTCTGTATATCAAGTAGTAAAATTCTTGTAATGATTTCCTAAAAGCTGCATATGGTAAAAATCAAAAGCTTATAAAATCATGGTTGTTATATTTGGACGCTAAAGGGCCTTTTTATTTTGGCACCAAACCCCAAGTTTTTTAAAAGCCTTTCCAGTTGATTGGCTACTTACTTAAATGTAGTCTTAAGTTAAAGTGGTCTTGCATGTAATTGTTTTAAGAAAGCATGAGAAAAGTAGAAATTAAGTTGCAGTCAAATGCTTGTGTAATCAGTTGTTTACATTATTTTTAAAAAATAGAAAATGGCAGTTTGATTTGAAACCCTCTCTTATGATTGTCCTGGTGATGCGTACGTGAAGTACTGTAATACAGCACAAGCTTCAGTTTGAAATCCATTGGGAAAATCAGCTGTAGAATTCTGTTTTCTAAAGTGAATGGTGTTCACAGCCACCAGAAAAGAGTCATTGTTTGGATATGTTATTTAGAAATTTCTGGGTTTAGTCAGCTGTATTGTTGGGGGTTTTTGCCTGAGTTTTTTTCTTCTCTTTTTTAGAAGATTTAATAAAGGAATCTGTGGTGTAGTGTGTGTTTGGTAGATTTTGGTATGTTGTTTTCAGTTTGCGATCTGGAAGAAGTAAGGGCACTTCATTATCAATACAGATATGTTGAATCCAAAAAGCCATTCAGAAACTGAAGTGTGGGGTTTAATTTGTTTTGGTTATCGTACATCTGTTCTAGTATGTCTCTACAGCTCGTAAGTATAGTGACTCATACTAACTTACTTCTTATGCCTTGTTAAATATGACTTTGTTTTTCAGCCTCTTTTTACTCTATATGTGCCCATTTAACCTCTTCCTCTCTCTTTCTAGTTACCATTTTTAAATGCACAGACTGGATTTTTCAGTGTGTAGTGGAGGTTTTCTTAGATTTCTCATATCCTGCGGGTCCTGGTGAAGGCTTGGTTAAACCCAAGACTGTACATGTGCAGACTGTACACTGTTAGTGATCGACTTGGTAAACAACGTACGAATTAAATGAAACAGTTCACCGAGCTGCTTGGCTTGACAAGAGTTGCTTTGTTGGCAGGAACTTTTAAAAACAAAACAAAATCAACAATTTAAATCTGATAAAGCAGTGAGAGATGAAGATACTTTGGTGATCTTTTTCAGTCAAGTAGTTCTTAGAGCAAGGGCCGCTAGAGAAGCAGCAGAATGTTTTCTGGACACTAGAAGAACAGCTGTACTGAATCAGTCTGCATGTCTGTTTCACCCAGCATCTTGTCTCAGGAGTGGACACTAGTTTATGCATGGCAAAAAGCATAAAACCAGTAGCCTTTATTAGGAAGTGGCTGCTCTTTGGTGGGAAAATTATTTGTGTTGTGTATTTAATCAAATTAAAATTCCAATTATCTTTCTGCAGAGAATCAGAATGACTAAAAAAAGGAAACATCAAGAAGATTTCCAGAAAGTGAAATTAAAAGTTGGGAAAAAAAAGCCTAAACTAGAGAATGCAACTGATACTACCTTCAAAACCAAGGCCATACAAATTCCCGAGCAGCTTAAAGAAGATGGAGTGCTTCCTACACAAAACAGGAAACTTAACATCAAGGTACGTGGTGACATTACATTCTGAAAGGACAGAAAATTACTAGTCATTCATCTAGGTTTACTGTCATTCATCTAGGTTTAGAGTTTTGGGGAAAAAATATTTATTTTTAAAAACTACATCAGGGTATTTGAATACAGCCTTGTTCTTGACAATAATCTGAGCCATGAATTTAATGGCTCAGTTTGGTGTACGAGCATATAACCCAAGAGAAAGGTTTTCATCAGTGCAAAAAAACCAGTTGCACACTGATTTAAGAATCTGGGATTAACATTTGATTTTCAGATCATAACTTAATGGACACAGTTCTGAAAAACAGGCTTCCTGAAATGCTGTTTTCAAAGAATCTTCTATTTCTTTGGGGGGTGGTTTTGTTTTCCTTCCTTTATGTCATCTTCCATTTCTTGCAGCTCTCTGCCTAAACTGAATAAGGCTGTTGGGGCTGAGGTTTTGTAGTTCTGCTTTCAAGAACGAGAGTGAGAGGGCTTACTTTTGGTCATCCCTCTGAGTCAGTAGGGTTGTGCATAAACTTAAGAACAAGAAGTATCTAACTATCTGAAGGAGAGGTCATAGTACCTTGTTTCCATGTCATTGAATTTTGATGATTTGTTCATTGTTAGGCTTTATGTTAATACTGTGTTTATGCTGAACATACTTTGCTGTTATGAACAGCAGTACATTGTAAGAATAGATTCTGTGCTTTTGAGTGTTCTAAGAAAAATGTGCTGGAAATAGATGGGTGAAGTTTCAAGAGCTTAAAGTAATAATGATGGCAAGTATATGTTTGTTTCTTTTTAGGATCTGCTTTCACAGATGCATCACTATAGTCCTGGGGTTAAGCATAATGCACTTCTTGGACTCAAAGATCTCCTGTCTCAATATCCATTTGTAATTGATGCACACCTTTCCAGTATAATAAGTGAGGTGGCAGCTGTGTTTACAGACAAAGATTCTAATGTCAGAGGGGCAGCTGTTCACCTGCTGCAATTCTTGGCTTCAAAAATAAGAGCAGAACAGATTGCTCCATTTTTTCCTTTGGTAAGTGCCCATCTCTCTAGTGCCATGACTCATATCAGTGAGGGAATTCAGGAAGATTCACTGAAAGTCTTGGACGTTCTGTTGGAAGCATACCCAGCTCTTCTTACAGACCGCAGCGTTATATTGTTGAAGAATTTTGTAGAGCTTATTTCTCACCAGCAACTCTCAAAAAGACTGAAGAGCAGAGAGAAACTTTCCTGGATGCTCTCTGTTAACCCAAATCGCAGAGTGACTTCTCAGCAGTGGAGGCTGAATGTACTTACCAGGCTCAAGAAGTTTCTCCAAGCAGTGGTAGTTGGATCAAGTGAAACAGAGGATGAAGGGCTTCAAGAACAAAAGGACAGCTCTCATTCTGTGAGGAACCCAATATGTATCAGTTGGAAGCTCCATGCAAATAATCAGCAGCATATACAACTGTTTGAAAATGGTGGCTTACGACCAAAGATCAACTCGTCGTTCAGACTGAGGTGAGAAAACGTTAACTAATTTGGGAGTTAATGTCAACTGTGTTATTACAATTTTTTACTGTAGGGTTGTCCCTTAGCCATATTTTAGGACACTTAGTGTAAGGTACAGTCTTACTGCAGAGGCTTGAAAATACAGAAATTCTCAGCAGATAAGTCTGCTGTGTGTATGTCATGTACTTTCCCATTATAAAAGCTTTGTTTCATGCTATGCATAATAATTTTGGGTGACCAATTCTATTGGGTGTTTCTAGGAACACAAACTGACAACTACAGGTTGTGCAGGATATCAAATAGACCTAGGGGCAAGCAGGCAAATTTCTTTACATTAAATGTAAGCTTGTATGTGATGATGAATTTTACTGAATTTTTGTGCTTTTACCTTCTAGAGTCTATCCTAAGCTTAGGAGTCTTATTTTCTTTGCATGGTAAGATGTGTCTGGTGGTAGGAAGTTCTGTTGCATTTCCAGTTCTAGATATTTTTAATCACTTCCACCAGTTTATATCTTCACTGTGGGTAAAAGATACCTCGTCTGAGACATGCTGATGAATGTGGAAGAAAGTGTGGTGTGTTTAGTCACAGAAAGGTTTGTGTGGGTTTTGGTAGTACTTCAAACAAATGTGAGCTGAAGTTAAGGGAGAAATAAATAACTGGTGTTATTTCTCTTCCTCCTTTCTGATTCACCAACTAGAGGGGAACCTGCCACCCCAGTTTATGGTAGTTTTTGAACATTGGCATCCTCGTGTAATGCATTGCTATAGATGTTGTATACCTGCTGGTAGGAGACCTGGAATGACAACTTGAAAAATGAAAGCAGTTTAGCTGTTACACAGCTGTTATCTATAGATACCAAGGTGGTTTGAAGACAAACCATGATCTTTGCTGGAGAATACTGAATAAGAGGTATAAAACAGTCATACCAAATTCATGTAGGAGGTCAGTGCCAAAAAAGGGTCTAAAACCCACTGCCTAATCCATTATTATGTCTGTCTTATATCTTTGAATGAATGAAGTGCAGAAGGAGACGTGTTCTCTTTGTATGCCACAGGTATTGTCCTGAATTAACAGGTGTTTTCCTTCTCTGTCATGGAGAGATGAAAATAACCATTCATTCCTGTCCTCCTAGGCTTTCTCTCAGTAGGTAGCATACTACTTGTGGTAGGTATAGGAAGCAAAGTAAGCTAAGTAAAATGTTCAGCTTACCCTTATAGAAGTGGTGGTTAGCAGAAGTGTTCAGTCATGACCAACAGTAGCTGCTGCAGGTAAAACTTTGGCTGGAAACTAGACTGATGAAGCCCACTTGAGGCAGGGGCAGGGTTCAGTGCTGAGCACAAATCAGTCCTGTGGACTTCATCTTTGCAGTCAGAAGCACACAGTTGTGGACCGCTGTATATCAGAGGATTCTTGTATTGTGCCCTGAGTGATACGCAGTGTGATATGCCTTGTCCTGTAATAGCTGAAGATGCATTGTATCCAAGGTCTAGGAAAATAAACTTTACATCTGGTGTCACCTGAATTGGATTCCGCTTTTCTGAGGCGCTAGATTTTGGTGAAACATCGTGATCCACTTCTGGTTATAAATACTTTCAAAAAGATGTTTGCAAGCATGAGGAGGAGCCAGAAGAATAGAGGAAACATGGCTAGAATCCAAGGCGAGATTGGCAAAGCTGATGGCAGCAGAAGAATAGAAAGGGAAGGAGCATCTGCAGAAGGTACTAAAATGTTCTCTATTGCATTTGTGCATGTTTTTGGTGTATTCGTTTTTGCACAAAGAGCCAGTACAGCTTGCTGTAGTGGATATGTGTGAAATTCCAATAGCAAAAGACTGCCCTGGTGGTTTTTGTATTTGCCACTGAAATCTTTTCTAGTGATCTAAAGATACCTAATTCTGTCGCTTCCAATCCCAACTGTAGCCTTTTGCAAGCATTCCCAGGCCTCTGCTGTGGCCATTACAATTAATTTCTGTCATTGCAGTAATAAGATGTGCAGCACTCAAACTTTCTCTGTGTGTGTGTGTGTGTGTTAAAGAACTCAGTCAAGTCCTGACTACAGAGAATGAGTTGACCAAACCATAAGTAACTGTTTGCAGTGTGTGTGTATGTGCGTTGGTGACCTCAACTTTGAAGTTTCAGCTTTGTTCTTTAAACAGTAGACTTCCAAACACCATAATAGTGTACTGATTTTAAGTTCCTGCATCTTTTTAATCTTGCAAGTTCATTGGTTAGGGATGACACCTCATTGATAATCTAGTGATCATGGAAAGAGATTTTCAGAATCAGTTTGTGGTATTTAATAAAAAGGGTAGATTCTGAGCTTGAAATGCTGGATGGATTCAACAATGCAAATCTTTAGACTTCTTTATTTTCTGTTGTGTGCTGTCTTACTACTGTGTGTAAATTAAAGATTGCAGTGAATTAGGAGGTTATTAGAATGCATCCTCTGTATTATGTGCTGACTGTGCTGCTTTTTGCATCAAACTCGTTTCAGGCGTAGAAAAACGAAAAGCCTTCTCAACTCAAATGTGGTACCAAGGCACGTGATGTTTGAGTGGAAGTGGTGCTGAAGGGAAATTGTGGAGCTTCAGATGCTGCTGAGAGTGAACAAAATGAAGCTGCAGAGAAAAGCAGAGAAGACTTGAGAGACGGAAGTGGCAGACGAAGCATAGTCAATGCAATATGTATATGGTGTGATATGTGCATCAGATAGAAATGGAAAATGCAGTTCACTTGGTGTACTGAGTGTTTGCTGCAATTGGCAGTGCACACAAAAGGAGGACAGAAACCTGGCTTAGACTGCGAGCCATAAAAACACACTAACTTCCAATGACTTTTCCTATTTTTAAGGAACAGCAAATTGTTTCCTTGTTTTCTGATTCTTTTCTACTTCCTTGACTTCCCTTTGCCGAATTTCTGTTGTCTTCCTACTGTCAAATGGCAGATATTTTACACATTTTTCTTTTGTTTGATCCTCCTTTATAAAAATATTGTCATTTTAAAGAAAAAATGCCAACTTAAGGGGTGCACAAATATCTTGCAGCTCCCCTCAGTAGTACTGCATACTGATCTGGAGGTAATATGCTTTGTAGTATTTCCTAGAGCCACATTACCATGAAAGTAGTGATAATAATAATGTGATTAAAAAGGTTAATTAGCATCAAACTTCCCAGTTCCAGTGAACCTGTATTGCTCAGGATATTGTCCTAATCAAATAAATACTGGACAGGTTACTATAATACTTCATCATCATCTGGTACTGGAACTTAGATTCTATTTACTGCTTTTGTTGTTAACATTGAATATGAGGAGTCGTCTTATCTTGAGAGATAGGAGCTTCTTTTGCAGGGATACATTCTTACCCAAATGCTTTGGGCAGCTGGGAGGAGTATCCCTGTTGGCATGAATTCTTCCTTTTTCCATTCCTTGCTTCAGAAATGTACTGAAGTAGTTGCGCATGTCTTACACTGCTATAGGAGTCTTCAGGTGTGTGTTGCCAAATTCCCAGGTTTCATGCACTGTTCGCTGTGTAATGGGGAAATTTTTATGTTCCAGAACTAGATTGCTTGAATTCCAGAGCTCCACTGTAATACCAGGAATTCTTTTTAGTGAAGTTTTTAAAGACTACTACTTCAGAACTATTTCAGCCAATTACTGACATTTCATACTCAACTGAATGTGTAATCCTGTGATGGCATAACATTTACAGGACAACCTCACTTTTTCAAGGAGATTATAGTCTTGGAATCAACTGGCTTGTCCAGTGACACTTTAGAAGTCATTGTGGTTATAACTGGAAGATGGGATTTGTCTAGTGTGTCTTGAGATGACTGAGAGTTAAACTGTCTTAACTTGGAACCATTCACCCTAAACTTCTCATGGTCTTAAAGAAACTGCTGCAGTGTCTGCAGCACAAAGAGGACATGAACCAAAAAAGGGACAAATAAGCTAAATGACACTGACTACATATCTTGGTTGCAGCAGTTAATGCTAAGCTTTAGAAAATTTTAAGATGGCTGATAGTTGTAGTAAGTGCTAAAGAGTAAAAAAAATTTTTCTTTCTTATAACCAGTTAGGTTTCCACTTGTCCATTTTATTATATGCTGGAGATCTAAATTCTGTCTCCCATCTTGCCTTCATGGAAAAAGAGCTTGTATTTGTCTCACACTTCCTTTTTTCCTTTAGAGAGGTCTTCTCCCTGCTCCTTTTACAGATTGTAACCTGTAACCGAAACAAAACCTGGGTTTGTTTTGGTTTAGCAGTTTTCTTGAGATACCAACTTCAACCAGAGAGAAAGGACAGAATAAAATTTTCTCTTATGTGTGTGTTACAGATGATGGCAACAACATGAGAAATATAGCTCCATAGAAAGCTAACTAATTGGGTAATTTAGAAATGGCAGGATGACCAGGGAAAACTGCTTTGCCTTTTCAGTCTGGTATAAAATTAAAATATTTGTAAACATAACTTTTTTGCCTGTCTGTGGAAAGAAAGCAAATAGTTTTCCAGATCCTGTTTGCAGTGTATATGTAAAGAAAAATTGCTTGGGGAACATAACTGAAATACATAGGAGTTAAGCACGAGGTTCAGCATATCAGTGTTATGTATGTTAGGAACTTAGAATTATGGTGGGAATGCTGTGAGTTAGAAAACAAAATCATCTCATGGAAAATGATTTCAGAAATCACCAGTTGAAATTATTGTTGCTTTTTTTTCCTTTTTTTTTCAAGGGCTCTGTATTGCTTAAAATTAGCAGGAGTTATTCAGGCATTTATTTCTTTAAAGAACCTTCTGTTTAAAATAGATACAAATTGCCTGAATTTATCCAGGATTAGGATTTGGGGGGAGGAGTCCTTGGTTTTCTTGCTATGTGGGAAATGTTATTTTAACTTAAACTATATTTTAAGTTTTTATTATTTTTTTTTGTTAATTATCAGATCATTTAAATAATTTTCTATCTTGTTGCTTTCCAGGGCATTATAGTTAAACATCGTGTGAGAACCAAAGTTATATTATTGCAGAAAGATTTTCCCCCCCATTTTTATGCAAAACATTGTTTATTATAGGTGGAGATGGTTAACTGTAATAAACCTCATGCATTTCACAATACTTTGTAGTCAGTTTCGTTATTTTGCCTTGAGAAGCCTAAAGCTTATTTTGATTTTGTTGTGCTGAGTACAGTGCATTGTTACCTGTTGGTTGAAGGTGATATGATAATGCAAATCATATTTCTCCACTTCATAGAATTATATATATAGCAATGGGGAAATAAATACTGAAATCTAAGAAGTTGTTAGGCACACAAACTTGCAGGGAAACTGAGGAGCAGATTTCTTGAAGATGGTTTAACTTTTTTTCCATATTGAAGTATCTAGCAAGAAAGCCAGCAAACATTGAATGTGTTAAAAAAAGTACTTTATCCTGTTATTCAGAAAGCAGGAAAAGTGGTGTTTCTGTAATCTGTTTTAACAGGTGTGATCTTCTTTTTTTTTTCTTTTGCTTTTGTCATTTAGGTCTCTGACAAGTGTAATGGACAGTGCAGAAAAAGGCCTGTCCTCGGCCGAAAACTTAAAAGGTTTTATTGAGATAATAATTCCATTACTGATTGAGTGCTGGATTGAAGCATCTCCTGCACAATCAGCTCCCATTCTCGGAAACCTTTTGGAATCAGAAACTCAGCAGCTAATGCAGCAAGTGCTTAGTATAATACATTTGTTGTGGAAACTCACAAAGCAACATGATGAAACATACAAAATGGTAAGGGAGAAGTGATCCTTGGCATAATGATGACAGTTTTGTTTTGATTAGAAGCTAGTGATTTGGCTATTGGAAGAAGGGGAAATATTTTATTAAGAGGGATAAAGCCTAGATGTCGAGTAGAATTTGAGTTTAGATTTTTGTTAAGTCTCTTACTCTGGAAAAGAATCTGTTGAACTGAGCAGTGAGTTCACTGATAGTCTCCAGGAATCCTCCTTGACAGACTGCAGCATGGAAGCTTTTGAAACTGAAAGTGGTGTTGGTGAAGAGGAGTATTTTGTCTCCCAGATAACCTCTAGAATGTCAATTTGAACAACCTGTAGAATGGAGTTGCTTGCTCCTGGTTTTTATGTGCTGAAAAATGTTGTGAGGGTGGGTAGAAATGAACAAACCTTAAATGTTTGGAGAGGCAGGAGATAACAGTGGTGTGAGATCTTGTAATTGCTTGGTGCAACCTGTGTTGCTGTGTTGTGATTGGTAGGATCGTAAGACATGGAATCAAAGTCTCAGTAAGGATTTTGGGAAATATCCTTAGAATCTTTTTTTTCCCCAAGTTATTTTCTCTGTCTTTTACTTAGGTAAATGAATTGTGGCCTTTTTAATGTAACTTTTGCTGCTCTTTCAAAGATTTTGCAAATTGGAAAAAGAATGCGATTTCCATTTTGGCTGTTGAGAGTAGTTGGAAGAAATGGCTTGACAGCTCTTTGTTTTACTTGTGTATAGGACTACAGGTCACTTTGCTAAACAAAAAGCTGCACCTAGATTAATTATTGGAAAATGTTTGTGGAATCATTAGACCAAAGTTACCCTGAGTTAGGGCCTGAAGGATAGATACAGTGTGTCTGAACAAAACACAGTGTTCCCTTTTTTCCTCTTCATCTTTCCTAGAGGACCTCTTGGAAGCAGACAAAAAGCAGGCACTTGGCCAGATAAATACCTGTGGTAGCCTGCTGCCCCTGGGGTACTTTAGAGCTCCTGTCCTTAGCCTTGAGGTGCCTGCATTTTGGTCATATGAAAGGCATACTCCTGTCTCAAGATATGAACTGTTTTGGGTATGCACAGTTGCATTATGACCTTAGATATCTTGAGGAGGGAAAAAAAAATCTGAGGTTCATACAGCTTGGGTTTTGTGGAGCACATTTCAGTTTAGATAAGTAGTTTATTTTGTCTTTATAATTACCTTTAAATACAGAATCTGTTCAAATGGCTTGGTCTGAAAATAAAAGCTCTGCTTATTTAATAGCCCTTGGACTTACAGGCCAAAGTGGACTGAGGAAAACTACTCTGAATATGCTTAGTGGAGAGCTATTGATCTTTGAAATAGTGTAATGGCCATTCTCTGTTCTTAATAATTGAATAACATAAAGGTTATTCTGCCTGGTCAATTTGACAGCAGTGCAGGCTTTTTAAGTGATGAGTTCTGCTGGGCTCTTTGTGGAATGGTGACTGAGTGTCTCCCAACCCACAAAGTAAAATTATTTTAAAATATTGAATCCTTTTTCTGTAAGGATTGCCTTTCTCCTGGAAAATGTTTTGTCAGTGGGCTTACAACTGCGAGTACATTAGTGATAGGGAACGATGAAAGCAGAATTGGAATATGTCTTAATGGAAAACTCAGGAGAGCCACTGTGAGTTGACTGAGCTCACTCTGATTTTAAGTACCCTGATAAATGGGTATAAAAGTACTTGCAACTCACATCTGAACTCTGTTTAATATTGCATGTTTCCATGTTAATATATGCTAAGAAAATATAGTGGTCCAGTTGAGATTAAATGTTTGCTCAATCTTAATTTATATCATGTTAATCCCTTGTTTTGTGACTCTTCAGGTTCATGTACATTCACATTTTTATCTGAAAGTAAATACATGTAAAAAAAACTTGGAAACAAGCTAAAGTTCCTGTTTCTCATTGATTCCAGTAATGGGATTTTGGAAGATGACTGTGTTGGTGTATTTCAGTTACTAGCATGTTTTCTGTCTATCACCTGCTTTCCTTTACAGGAGCTGTGGCTGCGAATGAATTACCTTGTTGATTTCAAGCACCACTTCATGCGTCATTTTCCTTATTCTTTACAAGAAACAGTAAAACACAAAAAGAAAGATTCGTGCAAAAGGTAAGAATAAAATCAATGTCACGTAACAGCTTTTAATTTCATGAGAGAAGTGAGACAATATGAGTCATACGCTTTATCGAGCATTAAGTTTCTGATGTTGGAAAACTTTTATTGTGTATTGCTTGAAGATCTGTAGAGAAGTTTTTGTAGGAAGGCAGCATTGCTTTGAATTGGAAAGTTCTAGTTGTTCTTTGTAGAAGTGTTGTGTGGCAAGTCATGTGAGTAGGCTACAGTAGAAATTCAAATGCTGCCTGAGAGAAATTAAAGTATTTTATTGAACCTTTGATCTGGAATTTGCATATTGCTGTATGGTGATTGTGTTAGTCTGAGTAGTTTCATATTTCTGCATGTTTTTTTCCGTTGGCTGCTGAGTTACATCAAAACATAGTTCAAACTTTTTTTTCCTCTATATAGTCTTCCCTAGTTGTATCACAGGGCTGGGTAAGCTCAGCTGGGAGGAGAGATGCAACACACTGTGGCTATCCTGTATGGCAAAGAAGTACTGGATGAGGAGAAGCCAAGCACTCACTCACCCTTCACTATTGAGCTGTCAGAGTGCATCCACCAGTTCTGTTTTGGTACAGGCCAGTAGCAGGTTGTCTCCCCTCAGCTCCCAGATGTGAGACTATATTTAGTCAATGTCAGTTCTGAAGTCATTTTGCAACATCACAGTCTGTGTAGAACACTGGTGTACGTACAAGGGGTGTCAGCTGGTGTCCATCTATTTAAAAAATACTTTTTGAAATCTCTTTTCTCTCCCTCCCCTTCCTCCCTTTAGCAACAAGAACTGTATGACGTCCTCAAACAGCGTAGACCATCTTTTACTGAACTTAACCTTGTGTGACATAATGGTTTCACTAGCGAGCACTTCAACGCTTCAGACAGACTCTGGTTGGCTGGATATGATAAGGAAATTTGTGACAGATACTCTTCAGGATGGCAGCAAGCTGAACAGCAAGCAGGTGAACAGGTTGCTTGGTGTGACTTGGAGGCTAATGCAAATACAGCAAAACAAAGGTAAGATGAGTAGTTACTGAAAAGCAAAATTAGGCACTGATGAAGAGCTTGAGTTACTCTAGTGTTTGCAGGTCGCTGCATCTTAGATCTTCAGTTGTTCACTTGTTACATCATAATGTATTTTGTTATAGAGGTAAATTGAATTTCATGGTAATATTGCTGTGTGCAGCATTGAAAAGTTTATTTTTAGGAATGCTGTTAGATTCATGATGTTGATATGCAAAGTATGAATGTATTTATATTTTTGCTTCTTAAAATATTCTTAGAAATGGGAAGATGATCTCTATATTGAAAAAGTAATTACTAGGATGTAGGGGTGCCTGATACTTTATTTTTCTGGTGTTTAAAATCATTAACATAGCTGTTAGACTCTCTGCTCATCAGATGACCATTTTAGTTTTGTGATGATACAAAATGCCAGGATAGTTCTGATGGAAGCCTCTGTTGAATATTTTCCAAGGTGTTTGATTTGAATCCTTTTCCAGCAGAAAACATTTCCAGCTGTGGCTTGCAGGACCAGTATGGTATTTTGGCTTGCCTCTTTCTTTTCAAGTACTACTTGGTTTTATTCCAAATGAGACCTTGATTGGTATGTCTATTAAGTGATTGAAACAGGACTTCTTTAAGAAAGGAATTTTTCAGTAAATCTAAAAGTAACAGAAGTCTATTGTGTCTTACCTGTCCGACAGAAGTGAATTCCACAGACACGCAGCCAAGCAGAGTTTATAGAAAATGCTTTGCCCTTAGCAACAGATTTCATTGTTAGAGTTCTAAGATGAAAAGATGTCAAATGTCTCTCAAATATATTCCGGCAGTTACTTGTATCTCCTTCCAAATCCATTTTAATTGGAAATCTGTCTATTCCTGTGTCCCTGGTAACAAAGATAATAACTAATCATTCCTATCTGCACTTCAAATTTGGCTTTGTGTTGGAGGCCAATAATAGTTCAGAGTCACAGATGTGCCTGTCTCGCCAGCTCCGCTAAAGCACAAGAGTTGCTACACAGGAAAGTAGTTTCTAAACTATTGTTAGGCTGTTCAGTCAGATACTTCATGCTTTTCTTTGTAATGAAATGTTTTTGGGTTTTTTGTAACTTTGCCAAACATTTTCCAGATAGTGGATAATGTTGGTGACTGACCAGATGAAAGTAGCTTGACAGAAAACAAACCGGGGTCTTAGTGGAGCCAGTAACGGGCCCTTGCATCAAAGAAGGCCAGTGGTGTCCTGGGCAGTGTTGACAGCAGGATGAGGGAGGTGATCCTTCCCCTCTGTTCTGCACTGGTGGTACTCCTGAAGTACTGTGTCTGATTTTGGGCTTCCCAGTACAAGAGAGACATGGACATACTGGAGAGAGTTCAGCAAAGGGCTGTGAAGATGATGGAGACACAGGAGCATCTCTCCTATGAGGAAAGGCTGAGTGAGCTGGGACTGTTCAGCTTGGAGAAGAGAACGTTCAGAGGGATCTTACCAATATTTGTAAATACCTGAAGGGAAGGTGCAAAGAAGACGGATCCAGTCTCTTCTCAGTGGTGTCTAGTTGATGGGACCAGAGGCAATGGGCACAAACTGAGTCACTGGAGATGCTGTTTTAACATCAAGAACACTCATTTTCACTGTGAAGGTGACCCAAATACTGGCATGGGTTACCCAGAGAGGTTGTGGAGTCTTCATTCTTGGAGATAGTCAGAAGCTGTATGGACATGGTTCTGGACAGCCAGATCTATGTGATTCTGCTTCAGCAGGGGTGTTGGATCATACGACCTCTGGACCTACTCACCTCAGCCATTATGTGCTTCTGTGAAAGAAGAAAACCTTCCTTTCTTGAAGTTTTAATAGTGCTCTAGAAGTTCTAGACTGTAGTCACTTGATACTGCCAAGGTGGTCCATACCGAAAATATAACTGATTTGTTTACTTATCCAACGTTGAGAATAAGGGCCTGGAAGGTTATGTGTGCTTTGGAAGACAATGCCAAAAAGAATTAACTTTTGCAATAAAAAAAATTTTAGAACACAAAGGAAGTTGAATGAGGGGAAATATAAGTAGAAAAAACAAAGAGCTGATAAAAAAGAGAGTAAGTAAAACCATAGTTGGCCGCCTGCACACTATGCCACAAAAGCATGGTGGTATCTTTGCAGTTGCATTTTTCAGGGTTGCCTGTTTTTAGTAGCTGTTTATGGTGGGGGGAAATGCACATATCCACCTTTTTCTGTGGATGTCTAGAAGAGCTTGGAGCTGTGGTGTCTGAAGGTTTCTCTCCATCAAACTCTGGATGTGCTCTCTGTTATGAGGAGGTCTGCTCCTTTCTTGCATTTCTCAGGCATGACTTCAGCAGCAGCTTGCCTGCCTGCTAGTTGTGTTTTTGGTAAACTTAGTTTGTGTAACAAAGAGAGCACACTGAGTCACTTCAGGAGGAGGCTTACCATGTGCCCATTAAAACTGAAATATCTTAAAACTTGTGAAAACTTCAGCTGTATTTTGGTTACCTGCATACTGTGGACCTATTAAGTGTTACATTTTAGGGAGTACCTTTTTTAATTGCTTCCATTTTTAAACTTCCCCTCTTCATATGAGGCAATTCAGACAGTGGGACCTGCTTTGCTTAGCATGTCGTAGAGTGTTATTGGGAGGTAGATGAACATTCTACACACTTAGAATATTTATTTATTATTATATTTCTTCAGTTAACAGTTCATTAATTAGCTAAAAACTACTTGAAGATATAATTGTTATTCAATTAAGAATAAGCCAGAAATGCTGTCCAGGGTGAACCTTCACCTGAAAAGTATGTGGAGTAAGTCGGTGCTCCTGATGCATCAAACAGAAAATAATAATATATCTTAATTACCTGAAATATTAGAATGGATTTTATTTTTCTGTTGACAAATATGTTAGATTGCAACTTCTAAATGACTTCCTGCATTATGCTTGAGTATGCCCATGCCATTTCAGGTGCTTTTTACAGCATACTTTTTAGTGACAATCCCTAATATGGTAACTATTCCTCGTTAAGAATTTTACTGATGAAGACCAGCCCCTGACTGGATCTGGAATCATTTTTAGTGTGGATCATTCTTGTCTCCGTGGGCAGAAGTAGCTCTGTTCAGTGTGGAACACAAAATTTTATCTGTTTTTGCATACATAACTTGCTAATACTGATGCATACACCTGGATGGCAAGACAAATGTTTCCCAGTCTTGTTTTATGAAGAAAATGAAGTAATTGCTGCAACTTGAGTATTGCTTGACAACAGTGAATTCATTGGGACCCCAGGGTCTTCTGAGACAAATTGAGTCAGGTCTCATACTCTTCATGTATCTCTGAAGTTTTCAGATGCTTTCCCCATTCTTTCAGGGCTTGTCTCTGAATTCAGATGTTTTTTCATGCTTTGTTAATTTTTACATCCAGTGGTTTAATCTGCTTTCCAAAGAAAATGTTTGGTCTGTTTCTCAGCCTGGTATTATAAGTTCTGTATTTTCTGGCTGGTTTTAACCGATTTGGTCATAACGATGGAGTTTTCATATGTTGATTTAAGCCTGGTGATAGCACAGCTGATGAGAGGTTCAGAGAATGAAAGGTTGCAGTGGATTTTGGCAATTCTCCTTGCAGTGTCTTGCCAGTGGCCTCTCCAGGTATTTATTTTCTGGTTAATTAGCATTTGTAATGTGGAGCCAGCTGGTTCAGAGACAGGGAGAGCTGATAAGGCTGGTGTGTGTGGCAGGGAGAGAGGGATAGTGTAAAGAGAACTGAAGGCACTCTGGCAGTGAGGTTTTGGGGGAGCATAGGTGGAGGAGTAAAGGAGGAGATTGGTGTGAGGTTACTGCTTTAGAGGAAATGGATGTAGAAGATAGCTGTGGAAAACAAGAATTCATTGGATCTCAGCTGCCTTTCAACCTGTGCACTGTCTTGTCTTCAAGAAGTTCTGTAGTTTTCATTTGAATGTTGTCTGCAAGTTTTTTTGCCTGACTCTTTCATAAGCTACACAAGAAGGTGGTGTTTTAATGGTTCAGAAGTCTGTCTAGTAGTTACTGTAGAACATTTTGGTACTTCCCTGTGGAATTAAATGGAGAGAGTTGCAGATGAAGATGACAGCTCTTCTGTGTATGTATGTATAAAATCAGAAGATTAAGCAGTACTACTTCACTCCCTACTTTACTACTACTTTACCTTTTTTTTCTCCTAGTGGCAACAGAACCCTTGATAAAAGCAGTATATACTCTATACCAGCAAAGGAATCTTCTCTTTCCAGTTCGTACGTTGCTTTTGAAATTTTTTAGCAGAGTTTACCAAAAAGAAGATTTGAGGACTCAAAGAATCAGGTAAAAAAAAAAAAGTGCATGTTCTTTCTAATTTCAAAAAGGTATATTGATTTTAGAAGTGATAATACTGAATTTCTTCATGTAAATGTTATAAAACTTCATACCAAATCTGTTTTGACACTGTGTCACTGAAATTTGAAGGCTTAGGTTCTCTGTGAGATGGAGATCTATATTAGCTTAGTTGTCTTTTTTTCTCATTGTAAGCACTAGATAGATCTTAATGGTGTAAAATTTAACTTGAACTGCACTGCTGCAACTTCATGGTTACTGGTTGTGTGGTGGTCAATAGATGTGTCGAGATTGTGCAGCTATATAGCCATGGTGCATTTCCACTACTTCAGCCTGAGGTCATGGACTTGTGACTTCAGTGCCTTTGATGGTTTTGGTAGTGCCTGTCTTGCCTTTTGTGCTTATTTTCTTTAAGAAAAGTATTCTGGTTTTTTGGGTGTGTGATTCCAAAGTGACTAGGTTTCAGAAAGTGTTCTTGTCCTTTAAGGCTCCAGTTTCATGCTTCTATTTAGACACCTGACTTGCTTCAAGTACTAGGAGATTATTCTCTATGTTGTCTGTTGTAACAACAGGTTTTCATTATCAGATGTGTCCACATTGTCTCCAAATCTTAACTTTTCCAGAAGGTATTTTTCAGCCAAGTCATCTAGTTCCAGCTACATAAAAATGTAAACCACGGATCAGTCTGCATCAATCCTAGCTTGTTTGAGAACTGTAAAGGGATATAAGAGCATAGAATCACAGAATAGTCTGGATTGGAAGGGACCTTGAAGATCTAGTTCCCCTGCCATGAGCAGGGACATTTTCTGCTAGACCAGGTTGCTCGAAGCCCTATCCAGCCTGGCCTTGAACACTCCCACGGATGGAGTATCCATGGCTTCTCTGGGCAAACGTGTTTTAGTGCCTCACCACCCCCACAAGTAAAGGATTTCTTCCTAATATCTAATCTAAACCCACCCTCTTTCAGTTTGAAGCCATCATCTCTTGCCCTATCACTACATGTCCTTGTAAAAAGTCCCTCTCCAGCCTTCTCATAGGTCTCTTTAAGGTATTGGAATACTGTTGTAAGGCCTCCCCAGAGCCTTCTCTTCTCCAGGCTGAACAACCTCAACTCTCTGAGTCTATCTGTATGGAAAAGGTTCTCCAGCCCCCTGATGATCTTGGTAGCCTTCTCGGACTTGCTCCAACAGGTTCAGGTCCTTCTTACATTGGGGACTCCAGAGGTGGATACAGTACTCCAGGTGGGGCCTTAACAGGGTGAAGTAGAGGGGCAGAATCACCTCCCTGGACCTGCTGGCCGTGTTGTTTTTGATACAGCTCAGGACATGATTGGCTTTCTGGGGGATATGGTATGATTATACCTGTGATGCCTGTTTCTGCTACTAGGTTAAAAAAAATAAAAAAATCAGACCTCAGGACTTCCAGAAGTACTGGCATCCACTAGCAGAGTCAGGCTTTGGGAAGATTGTTCCCTTCTGCAACAGCTTTGCTTTGTTAAGTCTTATGTTGTGGTAATGCCTGAGTACATGTAATTAGATCTACAGCCAGAAATATCTAATGCTGCACTATGAACATTATTAAAGGTATAGAGAATTTGAAAGACAGGATGAAAGCTTGGGAATATCCCGTTTTTCTCCTCTTTTCACCTACAGTAGAAGAGAGGTCGTTTTCGTACTGACTAATTTCCCCAGGGTTACATAACCACTGTTTTCTGTACTTACCTGGAAGTCTTGAGTTTCATGTGATCATCTAACAATCTTTAACTTTCTATCTTTAGACATCACAAATAGCAGTAGCTTTCCTGCTGTTCCTCTTAGTCTTCTACATGGAACTGTGACATTTTTAGTAACAGAATGAAGTCTCAAAAATTGCTTGCAAAAAAGGATAATTACACCTATGTCTGACAAGACTTTTTAAGACAGCATGATATTTGTGTACTGCACTGATCCATTTCTCTCCTTTAGAAACAAATGGTTTTCTTTACTTTCTTCAAAACGTGGACTGTTCAGTAGATCCTGGATGCCATTCATGTTGTTCTATCCAGTTTGACATCATAGCTCCTTCAGCCCTCCTGTGACTGGTCTCTTTTTTTCTCAGAAGCTTATCAAGAACAGTCTAAGAGGAACAGAATTAATATGGGAACGTTTAACTGAATCTGTTTGGGTTTTTTTTAGTTGTATCCAATTCAGAGTTAGATAGGGACTCTTGGCCTACCGTTGCCCTATGTAAGAAAACTTGATTAATTTGTTACAAGATTCAGAATTAAGTTTTGTCTTGATGTTTTAGTTGTCTTCACCCCTAATCACTGCATACATATGCACAGTCACTGAGGGTATATATGCATATGTACTGTGTGCATATATATACTGTGAGAGTCTTAAAAGGCTCTTCTGTTCAGTCTCACAGCCTGCCTTCAACACTGACCTATGTGAGGTGCTATAGGAAGAGGACAAGAATTACTTTTTCACAGTATTCCTACACTTCCAACCATTTGAAGCCTCTACTTCCTCACTGCACAGAGCTTCTGTGTGTTTAGTGGATGTCTATTATTTCATGAGCTTTTCTGATCATTCCTTAATCTGGTCTAAGTCAAGAGCAACTGCAGCATCCTCTGGCAAGGAGTGTCAAACCTCAGCTGTCTGAAGTCCAGCTTTGTTTTGTTTTGATCCTGGCTCCTTCTAGCTTCATTTGATAACCAGCACCTGCTTCCTTCTGTGGGAAGAGAAAGCAAATGTTCTATTCCCTTCCACTATTTGCATACCAAGTGATTAGAGACCTCAGCCCACCTCCAGCTCACTTCAGCTGTCTGTTCTCCAGGCTTTTCCTACTGTTGTGCAGTTAATATCTATATGCAAAGCCTTTTGCTCTTACATTCCTTGAAAAGCTTTTGGTGAGGGATTTTGTCAGGCATTTGAAAGTGACGCAGTATTTATCATCATCATTCTGCTCTTGTTGACATCTTCAAAGACCTAGTTTGAACTTCTTGATTTATGCTTGGTAGGTTTCTTTTTTTCTTGTAATCATCACTTTAGTAGTAAGCTAAAGAAATGCTTTAGGTTTATAAATTATACTTGATTTGGTAAGTCATGGTGGCATAGAAATTGTAGGCCATGAAAGATAGGATTGGTCTATACGATTGTTTCAGTTTGAGCCAGAAAGGATAAATAAAAGCAACTTAGTCAAGACTGGAAAGAGAAATTTTTGGGCTTTTTGTTGTTTCATCTTATTTTTTTTCACCATCTAATTTTTCCCCCTTTAGAAGTCGAAGTAAGGTTTTATCTCGTTGGTTGGCTGGTTTGCCTCAGCAACTGGCTCTGCTTGGCTTGAGAAACCCTGAGCTTTCCAATCAACTCATTGATATCATTCATTCCGCCGCTTCTCGTTCAAACAAGGAGTTACTGCAAAGTTTACAAGCCACTGCTGCTCGAATATACGGTAAGGCTTTTACACTACAGCATAATGAATTTTGTTCCTCACTTGGCGGGGAGGTCGCAATATATGGAAAATCTTGCTGTTTCCTAGGTGAACATAGAGGCTGTGGATGGGAGCAGGGTTGGAGAGTGGGTCATAGTATCATAGTATGTTAAGGCGTTGGAATGGATCTTAGAGGTCATCTAGTACCAGTTCCCTCTGCCATGGGCAGGGACACCTCCCACTAGCACAGGTTGCTCAAGGCTTTATCCAGCCTGGTCTTGAACACTATCAAGGTTGGGGTGTCCACAGCTTCCCTGGACAACCTGTTCCAGTGTTGTTTTGTGCATTCCACCCTCACATCATAAAACTTCTTCCTAATACCTAATCTAAATTTCCCCTCTTTCAATTTATGCCTGTTACTTCTTGTCCTGTCACTACAGTTCCTAAGAGAGTCCCTCTCCAGCTTTCCTGTAGGCACCTTTCAGATACTTGAAGGTTTCTATGAGGTCCACACATGATCTTCTCTTCTCTAGGCTGAACAGCCCTGACTTTGTCAGCCTGTCAGCCCCTTGTAATATAGGTTAAAATGGACTATGCATGTAATTTACTGAAGGATAGTAAAAAGATTCAGATCTTTAATCAAAGTTAGCAGGGCTTTAATTTATTAGACTGGAAACTTTAGGTTTTGTGTGTCAAAATCATGGAATTGTTAAGGTTGGCAAAGACCTCTAAGGTCATAGCGTCCAAGCAACAACCCAGGGCTGCCAACTTCACCACTAAACCATGTCCCTAGGTCCACATGCTTTTCAAATGCTACAAGGGATGATGATGCCACCACTTGCCCAGACAGCTTGTTTATATGCCTGACTACCCTCGCAGTGAAGACATTTTTCCTACTATACAATCTAAACTTCCTCTGGCGCAACTGAAGGCCATTTCTGCGGTTCTGACTGGCTGTCTCTGTGTCTGTGTCTGTGCTGGCAGATCCACTGGAGGGTACACTGGTGCTGTTGCCAGCTGAGGCACAGCGGCGCCTGGTGCAGCTGGTGTACTTCCTGCCCTGCCTGCCTGCCAGCCTGCTCACCTGCCTCAGCCGCTGCTGCATCATGGGCAGGATGTCCTCAGACCTGGCCGCCACCCTCATCGGCATCCTGCACATGAGGTATGACCCTCCTCGCTCTGCTGTGATCAGAAAAAACAAACCCCAAACAAAAAAACCCAAGCGTGAATGTTTGTTCATTAAATGTGGACTTTGTTGCTGGTTTGCATGCAAAAAAAATAATCGCAAGAATTGATAACATGAGGAAAGTGTATGCTTCAGTCAAACTCTGTCTTTATGCTGACTGATGTTCTGCAGTGCTTGATAAATTCATGGAATCATTTAGGTTGGAAAAAATCTTTGAGACCAAGTCCAACCATTAACCCAGCACTGCCACACCCACCTCTACACCATGTGCTTAAGTGCTGCGTCCATCTATCCATGTTATCATCTTTGTGTATTACTGAAGTCTGCCAGGAATTTTCATACCTAAATACAAACATTAATGCTTGTAGTATTGAGTCCTTTCAGTATGGATGCAAAACAGCAGCAGCTTATCTCTGGTAAGACCTACAAGGCTACACAGTGTTGGGCACCTTCTACCTGGAATGTCATTACCCATGGTGGTGGTCTTTGTTCTGCCACTGATGACAGCTTTGCTGTGTAACATACTTTAACTTGACATGTTTGATAGTGAAAAATAACCAACCAGTGTGTATTCTCATGTTCTACTTTGTTTCAGAATTTTAGATCTTGTTTTTTCTCTAATTACCTCACCCAAATAGCCAAATCATAGTTGCTAGGCCAGTGTTGTGTTTGAAATTATTCACGCTCTTGTTGTTTCTGTCCTGCCTTGAAAGAGGGTAAGTTTGCCTATGAAGCCAGGGAGAGAGGCTGCTGTTCCACTGAAGTGAGTGGAGGGCTTGCTGAGGTTTCACAAAGGTGTTCTGCTTTGCTGCTTCTGGAAAAAATATACCTGTTTTCCTGCATAGCTCAAAATTGCCAAACCTTGGATAAATAAGCAGGAATTAAGCTTATATGAATTATGCTTAAAGTGATTCCTGATTCTTTTTGGAACTTTTAATTAAAAGTTCCAAATAAAAATGAAAATATTTCATTTATTAGTTAAATATGTAATATTGTGAGTTTCATAAAAATATGACACAACACAATGTCCTGTCAAATACAGACCCGTTTATATTTCCTGTGTAACACTTGGATAAGGTGACTAACATATGAAGCAATGCTGATGAAATTTATATCCTATATGTATTGCATTGCTGCTATAAAAGTGAAATTCTGTCTAGTTTTGGGAATGTGGACATCAACATTTTATTTTTAAGAAAGAAAAGTTCTCTGCCATATCCTGGAAACTCAGTGGTAACCAGTTCACAGATTGTGACTGTGAGAACTAAAGTCAGTAATAAGCCCTCAAGTGCTTGTTTTGCTGTTAGGTCTTGATGGATCTTCAGTGTGAGAGATTTTTGTAGTAAATAGTATGACTGTTTTCTCAGGGTTATCAGAAAGCTGCAGGTTGTCTGTGGGCATTTGATCTATTTGGCAGAAGATGCACATGGCTTACCAAAAGTAGGTTAGATTCTGACAACAGAGAAGAAGGAGTAAATTCTTATTTTTTTTAGAGTTGTAAAGAAAGTATTTAGATTTTAATTTATGGCATTTGGAATGTGTTTTAAACTTAAGTTGTGTTCAAAGATAATCAGCCCAAGAAGTGAGACTGAAATAGCTAGATGAAAAAAATGAACTGGTGTAGCTATAATAATGCAGTTTCTTGTATTGATAATTGCTGACACTCCTTTCTGGGAGCCTGCAGGTCTTGATGAAAGCTGAAAAAGATATTGTGCTTGATTGAGCATTGTCTTTATTTGATAAAGCTGTTCTCACTCATGTGGAGAGGGATCAGTGTTAAAAACAGGAACTCTTGTTTTCTTTAGAAAAACATATGAAAATAATACATGAATAATAAGTCCTTGGAAAGATTAAAATTAATCGTTTGGACAAAGAATACAACAGCATTGAAAACACACTCTCACCTATATAACCAAGTTAAAAACTTGTACAGGTTTAGAAGGTCTTATAGATGACACATTTTGTAGCTGTGACTTGGGTGAAATGTATTTTGTGAAAGACTACTCTTTGTTTTTTCTATTTCTTTTCTGTCATCATGACTGTGAACTTTTTTATCCTAAAAGCTTCATCCTAGGGTGCCTTACAGAAATAAAGATGATAGAAATGTGTGTGGATGGTGAGAGGGATGTCCAAAAAACCCTTTGCTTTGACAATTTAAACATGAAAAGATAGGGGAGATAAGTAACAGTCCATATTAACTTCTCAAGAGCAAAAGAGTCTGATACTTCTTTTTCATTGGAAAAGAAGTTGTGCAGTTAAGGAGACGGTAGTAGGTTTTCTACACAGGAACCTCAGCTGGGCTTTATGAGCTTCATAACCTGTTACTGTGTGTAGAATACATGAACTAATTTTCTGTCTCTTATCAGAAAGGCCAAGGTGAACTATTGTATCCAGTTTTGTGGCTTGCTTTTAGATAAGTCATGGACAAACCGCATGGAGTTTAAAGTTAGTCTGTAAATTGTGATAATGGGGAATGAATGACAAATCGGCGTTGTTATGCAGATACAGCTGGGAGGGAGTGGGAACCATGTGTGTGAAAGGCTGTTGAAAAGGAATGGGAGAACGCAGGTTTAGCGGGATTAGATATACAGACCTTCAGTGTCGGGAGGATGTTTAGTTTGAGCGCTAGCAAATTGTATAAAAGCAGAAATACACACTAGAACAGGCTGTGTAGGAAGGGGGGATGAATATACTTCCCTGGAGATAATTAAAATCGGGTAATGAGGCTGGACAGGGATGGCAGAGGGCAAAGCCGCGAAGGAAGTCGAGGGGCGAGGTGAGTACTGCTGATGGTGTAGAGCTCTTGTGATGCTCGGGGTGAAACTTGCAGTGTTTGGAGCGGTTGGTGCTGTGGCACAGCGTGGGTCCTTTGCCGTTTGTGCCGCAGCCTGGGCTGGCGCGGCGTGTGGCTGCAGAGGCTGCTGGCAGCAGGGGGCGCTGTTACCCCGCGGTGTGCCCGCGGCGCTCGGGGCAGAGACGGC